GGAGACGTCACGTCCCATCGCCACAGCTCCTGTACCACCGTTGAGCGGCCGGGTAACCGGCTAGGCTCCTCAGCGAAAACCTGAATATGCGCTGCATCTGCTGCCTACTTATACTCACGCTGTGATCAGCAGCAGCTCGATGCAATAATCGCATGCCAATGTGCATTGACTCGCTTAGTTTACATTCGAAGTAGATTGGTCCCTCTAAGCGAGATCCCAATTCGTCGGTCCTCCGACGTGACGTCTCCGTTCCCTCCTTCAGGGAACGAGGGTTACATACGTAACCGAGACGTTATCTGTATAGATGTTTAAGTTGATTTGATGAGTTAATGCAATTTGAAATGTGTTGCTGTAAACATATTGTACAATAACATGTCGGAAATCCTCTGTACTGCCCTAAAAACTAAATAAATGTGAATTATGTATTATATCAATCAGAATTCAATAAAAAAAAAAATCTCAGTTCCAGTGTTGCCAGAGTTACCTTGTTTTGCAGAATATGTGCAAATGTTATGATGTAGTAGGGAGGGTCAATGTTACTTAAACTTTTAAAAGACTTGTGCTATAAAACAAAAGTCTCAGTCAGTGTTTGTGTCCAGCTGCAGTGAAGCTAAATATTTTACTCTGCAGTTCACAGTTTCGGTGTGATGATGGAAGTGTTACTGCATTTAGTTCCTCTGTTGATCATTTCATGTGAGAAACTCTTATTTTTTTCTGATTTGTTGAGGACATCCCACTGTTCTAGATCATCTAACATGATTTGCTCCATGTTTTTCAGCTGCTAGTGGTCAGTCTTTGACCTCCTCAGATTCTGTGGTGAAAAAGCCTGGAGTATCAGTGACTCTGTCCTGCACTGTCTGGATTCTCAGTGAGCAGCTACTGGATGCACTGGATCCGTCAGAAACCAGGGAAAGCACTGGAGTGGATTGGATATACAGCATAAACACGATTCAAGTGCATATTATGCTCAGTCTCTACAGGGCCAGTTCTCCATCACCAAAGACACCAAAAACATGCTGTATTTAGAGGTGAAAAGCCTGAAGACTGAAGACACAGCTGTTTATTACTGTGCACGAGAGTCACAGTTACACAAAAGACTGCAGGACTGAACAAAAACTATTCATGCATCAAATCACTGAAGCAATTGCAAATTTCCCCACAGTTCAACAAACTATACTTGTTTAGAAATGTATTTGAAGCATTTAAAAACTTCCTCATAAACAGCTTCTCAAATGAATGAGTGAATAAAGGTCTGGAATTAATTAAGGTACATCATAAAGATAATCGATTCAAAGTCTGCAGGGTTGATCAATCAGCAAGATACAAAACCTGTAGAGTTGCCATACATGACATTATGAAACGATATCCAGAAAATATAATATAATATATTTTACATAACACATTTTCTTATAGCTGAACACATATTTATAAACTTTTATCAGACTTTATATACAGTATGTACATAAATACACAATAGACAGAAAGACAATAGATAATATTTCTGAATACATCACTGAATTCAATGATGAACTGTCTTTAACTGAAAAATGAATGTTTACTATTGTGATTTTGCATTATTGACACACTATTTTCCTAATGAATGCTGTTCAGTTGCTTTGACACAATCTGTATTGTTAAAAGCGCTATATAAATAAAGGTGACTTTACTTGACTATGTATACTGTATGAATATATACATATAAATGTGAAGATACTGTATATCATATAAATCTATTGAAATATATATATAAATTGTATTAAATGCACATCTACAGCTATATTAGTATGTTACTGAATATAAAATTACATAAATTATGATATACAAGTAAACCGTCACATATTTTTCAATATTTTAATGATATGTATATTTATTTAGCCTCAGCATGGTTTTGCGACAACAACAACCTGATATAAAAATAGTGCTGATCTGTGTTTGCTGTTCTACTACAACCCATTAAAGCTCTACAACTTTATTAAAGACCTTTACCCACTTTATCATGAACAAAACACAATGTCACATCTGTTTGATGGAACTGAGGGGTTGCACGCACATGCCATGCTGCAAATAATCACATTTATTCACTGACGTACAATATTGTTTCCATACCAAGATAGCTGATACTATTGCCTATACCATGAACCTCAATAGTCTCAAGCTCCAATGATTTCACAATTCAGGGTTTCGATGCAAATTAACTGATGTCTGTTTCATATTTAAACAGCTACACTGTTGAGTGGAGGACTCATCACCAGTTCAGCCTTCATATAAACCATGTTCACTTTATTTCTCTTGCTGTTGCTGGCTGCTGTGTCTTGTAAGTAAATCCCCTGGATAAACAAACTGTTTTTAGTGTAAATATCCATATTCATAATTCTAAATGTTGTGTTTATCCACAGGTATTGACTCTCAGGTTGTGCTCACACAGTCTGAACAGTCAGTAGTTGTGGCTCCAGGTGCTTCCTACAAACTGACCTGTGCCTGCAGTGGGTTTACTGCTAGTAGCACTAGCATGCACTGGATCCGTCAGGCACCTGGAAAAGGACTGGAATGGATTATTTATTATTATTCAGATTCTTATAAGAGCTCAGCTCAGTCAGTGCAGGACAGATTCACAGCATCTAAGGACAGCTCTTATCTCTATCTGCATATGAATCAGCTGAAGACTGAAGACACTGCAGTGTATTACTGTGCAAGAGAGACACAGTGAAACACAAATACAGGCAGCTGTTCAAAAACTCATCGTGAGAAATGAGGTCATGTTTGAGTTACGCTAGCTCTAAAGTAACACAAGGCCCGTCTGAGGTGTTTTAAATGTACTAAATGCAAAAAAAAATATGTCATTAAAATGTAATTCCTATAAACAATAATTACTTTTTTCACACTTGGTTTTCAGTAAATCTGTACAGACTAGTCAGTTTTCTACCGTATGTTTCAGTATGAAGTATAATCTGTACAGTTTATAATATTCAGTTTTTTAAATTTATCTCATAGAATTAACGAACTAGGCATTTTTATAATAGAATTTCTACGTCATAACGTATTCATAACGATAACATAATCATTATGCAATATGATGCAACAAGTGTAGCTTCCTTCCTTCCTTTCTGAGCTAGAAACTGATTGCTGAAAATGACTGAACAATGCTGGTGAATGTCCATAAACAATTAATCTTTCAACCATCCTCACGCCCCACTTTGCCACATTGGGCCAATATTAAAAAAACACAAATTGAAAGAGATTGTAGAACAAAAGCGGGGATGTGTAGAGTTCCTTGGGAGAAGGGGCTCAAATGTAAAAAAAGGGGCATATATATATAATTCTAAAATTCTAAAGTAATTTGCAAGTTCCCTTTCAGTCAGTCATGTTCGACGTTACGTCAGTCGTGACTGAGGAATTGGGATCTCGCCCGAGACCCAATCACCTTCGAGTGTTAACTAAACAAGCCAATGACAGTTGGCGTGTATGTTTCGCCAAGCGCACCCCGCCCCGCAGCGCGGGTATAAAAGGAGAGCGTGTGCAAACGCACATCAGCTTTTCGCTTCGGAGCCGAGCCTTCTAGCTAGACTGAATCTCCACGAGTGTCTACGAGACAGCCTCTGGCGTTGGTGTTATGGCGCATCAGCGGGGGTTGCCATCCAGTGCTGCTTCTCTTCGGCGTGCTGCAGTTTCCCATTCTGCGGTCTCGCCGCAACCTCCCCTGGGCGCTTCAGCGCTCTCTCTAAAAGAGTGTTTTTCTAAAAGAGCAATATCTAAAAGAGCTCCACGAGCGACGGGCGTCTTTTTAAGCTCGTGGAGTTTCTGGATGTGGTCGTTTCCTGGCTTCATCTGACGGTCACAATCACTGTATCTCGTGCTTGGGCTTTCAGCACGCTGAAGCAGCGCTCGTGGATGAGTTATGTTCTCATTGCGGGAACATGACCATCGCGATGTTGCAGTCCAGATACCTCCTCATCAAACGGGGGGGTATCCCCCTTGCCATGCCCCGTTCTAGCTCCTCCGTCTCTCGGAGGGCTACTTTCTGCTCACGCTCAGGGTGATCTGAGGATCACAATGAAAGCTTCCCCGCCGAGTGCATCTCCACGGGCCTCTCATTCCTCCAGCACATCTCACCATCTTGTGTTCCCGGACGAGCTCGCTGGATCCTCGGACAGGGCGAGGCCCAGCATCTTGTTCGGAGCGCAAGCAGATGACAGGATGTCGATCGCTGCATCGGAGGGCGAGCTAGGCTCTGGAGATGACGATTGAGCTGCGCTGCCTCCGTCAGGAAGAGTGGCGTTGCCCGAGTCAGATCCAGAGCTGACTGCTACTGCACTGGAGGCCTCCTCCTTCTCCCGAACGCTCGAGGCTGGACGATTGGTTCCTGGGGGCGCAGGCCGGTCGTCGGCAGCCGCCTCCAGTTCCATTCTTCCCGGAAGTGTATGAGGAGGTGACTAAGTCTTGGAGGGGACCTTTTTCTGCCCGAAATAGGCCTGGTGCCTCCTCCGTCCTCACCACCTTCGACGGTGGGGCGGCCCAAGGGTATGTGGACATCCCCCCAGTCGAGCGCGCTATTGCCATGTAGCTCTGCCCGCAAAGTGCCGCCGCCTGGAGGGGTAATCCACGCCTTCCGTCCAGGGCCTGTAAGTTCTCGTCTGCTCTGACGGCTAAGGCTTACAGTACTGCTGGACAGACCGCTTCCGCCCAGCACGCCATGGCCCTCCTGCAAGTCCACCAGGCCAAGGCGTTGAAGCAGTTGCACGAGGGTGGTGCTGACCCAGGTGTGTTGCAGGAAATGCATACTGCAACGGACCTCGCACTTAGAGCGACGAAAGTCACAGCACAGGCCCTGGGTCAGACGATGTCCACACTGGTGGTCCAGGAGCGCCACCTATGGCTGACCTTGGCGGATATGAGGGAGGCCGACAAGCATCGCTTCCTGGACTCTCCGATCTCCCGGGCCGGCCTATTCGGCGAAGCGGTAGAGGGCTTTGCCCAACAGTTTTCCGCCGTACAGAAGCAGACGGAGGCGTTTCGGCACATCCTGCCCCGACGGTCTGCTGCTGTCTCCACCCCACCGCCGGCTGCAGCCCCTCTGTCTGCTCGTCCCTGAGACGGGCGACCCGGAGTCCTTGGATCCTGCTCTTCAGGAGGTGGTGTCCGCACCACTCCTTCCCCCGGAGGAGGGCCGGGTGGAGAATCCTTTGTTCCTGTTTTGTTCTGTTCCGCCACTGGCTCCTCAGCGTACCCAAAACCTCAAAAAAAGAGCAGTTTCCTTTTTCTCCGGGTCCCAAGAGGGCAAGGATGGCAGTGCACGAGACACAGTCTCCACACTCCCATCCCCCTCTCTTTTCGCCAGTGGGCAGCAGGGTCCGGTTCGAGGACGCCATGCCTCCTCACGTGTCCCCTGCCCAGCAGTGGAGCCAGGTAAGTGGCGCGATGCACACTCAAACCCCACTCTGCCTTTGGGGTTGGGTCACTGTGTTCCACTTCACTGCCCCGCGGCAGGTACGTCGGTGGTCTCCCTAGTTCCGCTTGTTCGGTCACTGGGGGCCTGGCTAGCGCTCCTCAGACACAGTCCTCTTCAGTCTCGCTGGCTCGTGAGAACCATCTGACTTGGCTATGCGATTCAATTCACCCGGCGCCCTCCCAAGTTCAGGGGCATTCGGTTTACCTCTGTGTTGGACAGAGATGCTCCTGTCTTGCGTGCAGAGATCGCGGTCCTGCTGGCGAAGGACGCGATACAGCCGGTCCCTCCAGCCGAGATGAGGTAAGGGTTTTACAGCCCATACTTCATCGTACCCAAGAAAGGGTTGTGCTTGGACCGGGTCTTTCAATGCATCCATCCTTTCGATTGGTTCGCAGCAATCGACCTCAAGGACGCATACTTTCATGTCTCAATACTCCCTCGACACAGGCCGTTTCTCCGCTTTGCGTTCGAAAGGCGAGAATATCAGTACAAGGTCCTCCCCTTCTGGCTATCCCTGTCGCCTCGTGTCTTCACCAAGGTTCCCTTGTTCCATTAAGGGAAGTTGGCATTCGCATTCTCAACTACCTCGATGACTGGCTCATATTGGCCCAGTCTCGAGCGCAGTTGTGTGAACACAGGGACACGGTGCTCAATCACCTCAGCCGGTTGGGGCTTCGGGTCAACTGGGAAAAGAGCAAACTCTCCCCGGTGCAGAGGATCGCTCTTTTCTTGGCATGGAGCTGGACTTGGTCAATCTCTCAGCACGTCTCTCAGTAGAGCGTGCGCTGTCGATGCTGAACTGCCTGGAGTCTTTCCAGCGCAAGACGGCGGTTCCACTGAAACAATTTCAGAGGCTCCTGGGGCATATGGCAACCGCAGCAGCTGTCACGCCGAGATCGCTTCAGCGTTGGCTTCACAACCGGGACCCAAGATGGGCATGGCGACACGGCACGTACCGGGTCTCAGTCACCCCGTCCTGCCGTCAGACCTTCAGCCCGTGGTCGGATCTTGCCTTTCTTTGGGCAGGAGTGCCCCTAGGGCATGTGTCCAGGCATGTTGTTGTATCAACAGATGCCTCTGCCAGGGGCTGGGGTGCCATGTGCAATGGGCATGCAGCTGCGGGGCTCTGGTTGGGGCCCCGACTGCAGTGGCATATCAACTGCCTCGAGTTGCAAGCAGTATGGCTTGCTCTACGCCGCTTCAAATCGCCGCTACACGACAAGCACGTACTGGTCCGTACGGAAAACACTGCGACCGTTGCGTACATCAACCACCAAGGCGGTCTACGCTCCCCGTCGCATGTCGCAACTTGCCCGCCATTTCCTCCTTTGGAGTCAGAAGCATCTGAGGTCGCTTCGCGCCGTTCATGTCCCAGGCAAGCTCAATCGTGCAGCCGATGAGCTCTCACGTCAGCCCGCCCTTCCGGGGGAATGGCGACTCCACCCCGAGACAGTCCAGCTGATTTGGAGATGCTTTGGGGATGCTCAGGTAGACCTGTTTGCCTCCCCGGACACGTCCCATTGCCAGTTGTTTTACTCCCTG